TTATTGTGGTTGTAGAATTACTAAATTAAATAAACATGAATTTACATTAGATAAATGTAATAATGAAGAATGTAATTTTAATCATTCTAAATTTGATGAATATATTAAATAATTAAAAGCAGAGAGAAGAGAAGAGAGAAACAACAGACTACTAGATAAGTATGGTAAGGTAATAAATCCTATTCTTTGGGGATTGTTATTTCCTATTTTAATTCCTTTAAATATTTATTATTGTATTGTAACCTAAATAATGAAAAGAAAAATCTAAATAATAATATATAATGGGTAATTCAAACAGTAATGTTGAAACTTCAAGTATTGATAAAATTAATGATATTAATATAGAACATTTAGACTTAAATAATATTGATAAATTACAGTTGAAAGCAATTAAACAAATGAGTGAAAGATTAGAAAAACTGGAGACAACTAAATGTGACAAATTAATATATAAATTACCGGTTCAGATTTGTAGTTATTCATCATTTTAAATTAATCTCATTAAAAAAAAAAAACATTAATATTATTAATTGTAAACATATGAATAAAATTTACTAATAAAACTTTGTCTTTCATCATTGATGACTTTAATAGTTATTTTTTCACTTGTAATGAAATACAATTAACCATATTATGACTATACACTAATTTAGTTTCATGAAGGTCTTTAATTTAGAAAATAATAAATATCAAATAAATTAGTTGATGTTAAAGTACGATTACGAACTTGCTTCAAACATTTAAATGAAGTAGATGTAGCAAGTATCTCATATTCAATTAATAATTTTAATGGTTTATGTTTTTGATGTAATTTATCTAACTCACTTAAGTTAAACATATACGATAAATCATTTCTTATATTGATATTATCAATTTCAAAATATTGTGTATTCTTTAATTTGTAAGACTTATACACTGGTTTAAATTTATTAATATAATTTCTAATAATAGTATTATTTTTTATTTTTAATAATCTAACATCACCTAAATTATAAGATAATACAAGGTTTTTAATATCTAATGGTAAATCATAAAATATCATATAATATTAATATATTTATTTATTTAATTAGTAATTTTCAAATATTGAGAAAACTTTTTCATAAACATTTTATCTGGGTTCTTTTCTAAAAGGTTAATATATAAAAAACTATGTGGTTCATCAGTGGCGGTCTCATATATTTTATAAATTAGTTTCTTGCTTTCGTGTAAATTATCGCTTCTAACAATTGCTGATAATTCATCTTGCAATATTTCTATCTCTTGAAAATGTCTAACTTTATAATAAAACAAATGACTTATATTTACCCTAATAATTGGTGGTACGGTTGATGATTTCTGAAGACTGACAAGCGTTGATATTCCACTATGACGTCCCCTACAGAATAAAGAATTTAGCAATTTATTATTTCTTGTTATTGCTGGATTATCAGATACATCGTCCAATATAACTAATATATTAAATAACTTATTCATTCCTTGTTTTTTCTGATATTCAATTATTTTATTTTGAGTTTCTATAACTCTTTCTAAATCTACAACATTGAACTCATCCCACCAACACGGTTCTTTATCAGTATCTACTTTCAAACCTTCCTTAATGTATTTCTTCACTGGCAACCAAATACTATCCAAATTTACACATGGGGACCAGATAAAAACTCTTTCGTATGCACCTCTATAAATATCAAGTATCATTGATACAAGTAAAGTTGATTTTCCTGAACCAGACGGACCTACAATCATAGCTCTCATAGGCAATTTAGGGACGACCTCGTGCTTACTTTGTTTAAAGTCATATTTGATTTCATCAATTGGTTTTACATCAGGCATAATAAAAGTAATATTAAAGACATTTAGAATATAATTTAATATTTATTATTTTATATGAATAGACTTTATTCAGATTATATTGATATAATACATGAAGTAGAGAATATAGAACAAGTTGTTATAACTAATAATAGATGTAAAAAAATATGTTATGTTGTTTTAGAATTAATTAAGTTTGTTGTACAATATATCAAAAATAAAAATGTGAATATTAATATAAATGGGGAGAAAGAAAAAGAATAAGACTGAAACAGTTGTTTCTTCAACTGATGAAGAAAAAGAAGAAATTGTTAAAGAACCATCAGTTATTGAGTTTGCTTGTCCAATGTGTAAAAAGATGTTAGAAATGAAAAATGAATTAGAAATACAAAAGAAAGGAAACTGTAAATGTTCGTGTATTCCAACCAGTTTCAAAATAAGTAAGAATGATAAGAAAATGAATATTGATAAAACTAAAGACAGTATCAACTTAGAAACAGATGTTCATAATATTGCTATTCGCTTTGGGAGGGGAGTTACTCCATCCGACAATGGTGATAAGGAAACTCAGGAAACTATAAAACAAATGATGAAAAATTAGTATTTAAAGAGTAGATTTAACATAATTGCGACATTTAGTTTTAAAAGTTTAGTTTTATGATTTAGTATATGGTTGAAGTTTCAAGTTTAACAAATTTACATAATGGAGCACTTGAATTAGATAACCAAATTGGAGACAATAATTATAATGGTGTTAGTTATTATACTCGTAAGTGTGGTTGTAAAATAGTCTTAACTCGTACTCAAACTAAAAAATATAACTTTTTAATAATTAGTGTTGGTCTTAGCTACGAATATTTATATCTAGACAATGCGTTAGTATGTGGACATACTCAAAAAGATTCAGATAACATTGTTAGACTTATGGTGCAAGGCAAAGAATTTAAACATTTAAGTAACAAAGACCTTCGAAATTAAAACATTTAGTTTTAAAAGCTTAGTTTTATAATTTAGTATATATTTACATGGATGAAGGATTAGAAAAGATTGTTAAAAAACTGAACAAGGTTTTAGAACAGAATAAGAATATTATAGAAATCTTACAAGAAATGGAAAAGAAGAAACCATTAACAAACAGTTATCAAAGTAAAGAAGTAGATAGAACCAATGGCGAAGACAAAAATAAGAAACAAGTGTATTTAAACAAACTTAATAACAAAGAAATTAAAGAACCGAAGTCTTCCACTATGACATTTTATCAAATTGACTATGATGAAGAATCAGGGATGTATTCATAGATAATATTATCTAAATATCTTTAATAGTGAACTTATTAGAGATGTTTAGCGGAACAGGTAGTGTTGGACTTGTTGCAAAGTCGCTCGGTTTCAATGTTATTTCATTGGATTTGAAAAATGCTGATATAAATACTGATATATTGAAATGGGATTATAAACAATTTGATAGGAACCATTTGATTTTATCTGGACATCTCCACCATGCACTGAATACAGCAAAGCAAAAACTACGGGAATTAGGAATATAGAATATGCTAATAGTATAGTTTTAACAACTATTGAAATTATCAAATATTTCAATCCTAAGTATTTTGTAATTGAAAATCCCCAAACCGGATTATTGAAAAATCAGGAGTTTATGGATGAGTTTGAATTCAAAGATGTAGATTATTGTAAATATGGAATGCCTTACAGAAAGAGAACAAGGCTTTGGAATAACATTACAACTTGGAAACATAGAGATTTATGTAAAAAGGATTGTGGCAACATCAGGAATAATAAACATATTGAAACAGCACAACGGCTACCATCGGGCACTAAGGAAAAATGGGGAGACAATCCAACAATACATAAGCAGGAATATTTATATAAGATACCTAGCGAATTAATTTGTGAAATCTTGGTGAGTGTGATGAACTAAGCACAACCAAAACATAAGACAACCATTGTCAAAAATGGTGACGTTTTCGCAATGTGGTTTCCTCAATGTGATTTTCACAATGTGGTTTTCGCATCGGGGTATGTGGTTTCCACAATGTGGTTTTCACATAGGGGTATGTGGTTTTCACATAGGGGTATGTGGTTTTCACATAGGGGTATGTAGTTTTCACATAGGGGTATGTGGTTTTACAATGTGGTTTTCACATCAAATAATAGTTGTCTCATAATTGTAATATAACTATAACATGTTAATAACATGTAAAATATTATATGTTACAATTATACTGAACTTATGGTTTGTAAAGATTGAAATATTTTATTTTTTCTTGATTTGCTTGACTCTTTCAAAGTGCGTTGTTTGAACTTGGTATGCTCTTTTGATTTTTTCGTGCTTTGGCTGTTTGTTTTTAATTTGTTTGATACTCTTCTGATATTTTTTGTTGGTATGTTGCTTTGAAATTTGTTGATGTGTGTGTTTGAGTTTGTGTTCTTTGATGGTTTTTATTTTTGCTGTTTTGTTGGTATGCTTGTTTGAATTATTTAATTTTGTATGCTGTGATTAAATATTTTTGTTGGTGGTTGTGATTATTTATTTTGTTTGCTTGTTGTTCTGGATTTTGTTTTCTGTTTGTTGTGTTGCTGATGGAGAAAAAATAGTAAAAGTAGAATTCCTAGAATTCTCCTTTTACTATTTTTTGGGGGAGGGGCTGCTCAATGGGCCAATGGGAACCCCCAAACGGAATCCGGGCAAATGGAAACAAGGACTGAAACCTGCGGTCCCCTGGTTTGATGGTTCTCATCCCTTCATCCAAAGGGTCATTTGGGGGTAGCTGATGTTTCTACGCGGAATCTGGGTTGCTCTCCCCCTGAGCAACCCCTCCCCTTTTCGGGCGATTTGGTAGGGCAAAGACCGGCATCAATCAAAATTCGCCCGATTTTCCTGGCGCGATAGGCAAGGGAATGGGCAATGAACCCAAGGAAAACCATCCCTCCTGTGTGGTTTCCTTTCAGGGCTCGGACCCTTGGGCCCGGGCTCAGCCCTAGAGTCTCCATGACCCCTAGAAAACTAGGTCATGGTCCCTTCATTTTGGGTAATGACCAAGCTTGTTTGAAAGGGTCATGGAGACTCCGGGTCCCCCTCATAGAATATAATATCAAACACATAAAATCATAATAATAAACGCCCCACCGACTTTGCACTGATCGCACGTTTCTCCCAATCCCAATGGCCTTCCACGTCGATCTTCAAGTGCACCGAGAGGCGCTTCCGGTTTCTCAAGTGCAGCTGCAGCGACTCGAAGCGCCGGCTCTCCAGCAGTCGGCTCTCCGGGCCCAGGCAAATGGTGTAGGGCTCGTAGGGCGCCTCTCAAAGCACGCACCAAGCTTTTGGGGTTTCCTTTCGCTCGGGTTTTGGGGTCTTTTTGTGAGGCTAGCCCTTGTTTGTGGCTTTACAGGGACCACAACAGGAAGCCCACCACTTGAGATTGTTGTTGTTGTTTTTCTTTCTTTATTTTGGGGGGGGGGGGGCAGAAGTCCCCTAGAAAAGCGACACACCCGTGTGCCTTCATGGTTTCCGAATGTGGTACCCTGGGTTTTGGGTAAGTGGGGCAGTGGAAAAGAAAACATCCCCAAAAAAGTTAGGCATAAAGGTCAAAGAGAGAGCCAACCAACTCGCACCCCGGATTCTTACCAGTTACAATGGCTGCGCGAACATGCGAGTGGTGTTCGTAAGAAACCCGCGCCAGGCCGGCCTTGAATGAATTCCAGGCACAGCTTCGCCCACAAAACCAACGAAGCTAAAGCCAAGCGTTAGCCCACTTTGCATCAGCTGCACTCGCCGCTTGCGGGCAGGATACCTAAAGGTGGCCAACCACCGTAGCTTTTTTCCACTTAGGATTGTAAGTGCCCTCAGTGGGTTTCCAGCGCCAAGTACCCTGCCCCTTTCAGTACACTGAAAGTAGACGGCAGTATTCCCTTGACCCAGGGGATGCCTACAGAAACGTGGGCCTTTGGCCGTCTACTTCCCCCAACTCAGTCACAATCAAAACCCGATAATTACTACCAGTACATACTTGAAATGGTGTGCCCATAATCCACTCCGGGTTTTCTTGGTTGACATTGGAGGGGGAGCAACAATTCAAATTTTCGCAGTTGAGCGGGGATTTCAACCACTAAGCCACAATAAGCAAAAATGCAAAAACTGTTTCCCAACCACAACCATGTTTTGAGGTTCGGACTCTGAAAAAGTCAGGCCAGTGGAGAAACTTCGGGGTAACCCCACTGAGAAAATTTCGGGTTAACCCCACTGAGCTGTTTAAATTTTGGCTCCACACCCCTGGCCTCGTAGCAAGGCGGCCCCTCCTCCGTGCAGGCGCCGCTGGCATTGATCGCCCGACCTCCCAAGGGAGTGGAGTCCTCCGGGCGCTGGTAGCAGTCGTAGAGCCGGGTGCGGATCTTAAAGAGTTGGCCTCGGGTGGATTTCCAGCACCCCCTTTAGGCCAGTCTAGGTTTCAGCTTCCAATCCTTGGCGCATGTGCAAAACGGGTGCTTTTGTGTTCAGCGACCCACAACACACGAGGACAACCAAGCTTTTGGCCCACGATGTCTTCAACCTCCTACTGGTTTCCGTTCAACAACTCGACTTCCCAATGCTTCCATTCACCAGACCGGGTAACCCCAGAAAACTCCGTCGCAAACCAATGGCCCCTCTCACAAGCCCTTCGGAAGCCTCCTTTCGTACATGACCACACACCACACACAAATATTTGATGGTTGAAACTCAAGCTTTCATTCTACGTATGACCTTTCTCTGAGGTGGAATGATTGAAACTCAGCCAAATGCTGACCTTTTCATACTAAGTATGACCTTTGTCTGAAATTCGAATGCCAATCATGACAATACAACGTAGATTGTACATGATGTGTCCTATCAAGGAAGATTACGGTTTTCCTCGAGCACCACCCTTTGCCAGAAGTTATATTGTGGATGGACGAAATCCTGCACCACTCAAGAAACCATGGAAAACCACTGTTTGTTGGTATTTGCAGGGGAATCATCATTCCAGGGTTCTTCGGTGGTACAGGATGTCGTCCATCCATGTATAGTAGGCATATCGCCGCGAATCCCTTGGACAAAGTGAACATTGTCCTCTTTAAAGCAGGCTCCAGGTTGCATGAAAAGGCGTGGAGGGGGGGGGTATGATCCGTCCCCCCCCTGACAGGCAAACCTCGTAGCTACTTATTTCAACTTGTCGACTCGGGGTTACCCACCAAAGACACCCCCAACCACTAAGACCCCCCAATTGGCCTTGGCCGTATGTTACCTTGGTGGGGGTGTCTTTACCAAATGTTGCCTCCCAAACCAAACATGGTTTGTGTTGGTCCAGATTTAGCAAGCCCAGCGCATCCTGGCCAGCCGCTTCTTGATGCGTCTTGTGCCCAAGGTTCTTGGGGAACCGCATAACGCAAAAAACAACTTCAACAACAACTCCTTGTTTGGGGGGAATGCCGGGTTGGTCCTGATTGAAATCCCGGGGCTTTAACAGCTTGCACTGGCTTTGTACAAGTGCGTCTCCTTTTAAAGGCTGCACCCACCAAAATGGATTGGGTTGTTGTGTTCCCTTTGTTCCAACAAGAAAAAAGACGCCTCAAAAATAGCACCCCCAAGGCAGGGTCCCATGCATCAGAGACGCTCACTCTCTCACTCCACAGATCCCGCTGCTCGATGCCATAGGACAGGCCTATCAACGCAGAGGGGTCGCTGTGGCTGAAGGCCTTCATGCACCAGGTCATGTCCTCAGCGGGAAAAACAAACACGCCACTAGGAACATTTCTAACAGTTCTGCGAAATCCTTAAGGGGGACCATGGCACGTATGAGCCCCCTGCCCCCCCCCCCCCCTCCCCCCCTGGGTTTACCCGGCCATCGCAACAATGGTTCAGGGCCAGCTGAACTTGCTTCCTTCAGGAAACAGCACCATCTCTTTGACACTCCTGAATCCCCCTACCATAGATAATCTGGCAACTAACTAGTGCAGATCTTCCTTTTGATTCATCCTATCAGGGTCCACGTGGCCATGTGGGGTCCACTTGGACGGCGGTTTGAGGGACTTCTTGGGAAAAGTCCCCAATTTGTACGTGGCTCATATCTCCGGTGAGGTTGCCGTGGGTTACATGCAGGGCGAGTCCCACTGAGCGACTTGTCAAAATGGAGGGCTCACTTCCAGAGTGGATGGGCCAACAAATTGTCTACCTGGACCCTCAAAAAAACTCCCTTAAAATTGGTTCTTGCCACAAAATTATGGGGTGAACTTGTTGATGGGTAGCTTCAGGGTAAACTGTTTATTTTTGCCACTAAACTTGCCTTACCAAAAGCTACCCCGAGATGCTTCTTGTTCTCAGTTGTTCAGTGACCCTGGAAAAAGAAGGGAACCCTTTTGGCGGAAGACCACTTTTAGTGGGGCAGCCACCCAAAAATGGAAAGGGTGTCAGTGAACAACTAAGCGTTGTTTTTCTCCGAGGCGCCCCAAAGAGGTGCCACTTATGGCACTGCTTCTCCGTGACCTCACCCATGGCCGCCGCCACCGCGCGCTCTCCCAGCTTCGCCGGGGACTTCAGCTTGGTCCTCCAAAATTGTGGCGATTCCACCGTGTTGCCACAAACTGGTGGACCGCTTTTGGTATTTTAAGGGAAGCCAAAAGGAACCAAAAGGAAACCCAAGTAAAACCAACCACATTCGGGTCCCTTATACTTCCTTTTTATGTGATACAGTGGATGGTTGCAAAATCCGGAAATCGCACCACCTTTCAGAAACCGTGGGAACGAAACCACAACGTTTGTTGGTATTTGCGTTGGGGAACCGTATCATTCCGATGGGTTTCTGAAAGGTGCGATTTCTGGATTTCGCGAAACCATCCACAGAACTCACCCAGAGGATCTGGAAAAAGGCGATCACCTTTCGGCATAGGTGGCCTTTTGGAAAAAATGGCCCTGGTATGCCCTGGTAAATTGAATAAACCCCATCTAAACCAGGGCCCTCTATTGTTTAAGCAAACCAACCAAAAAGGACACCTATGCCTTTTGGAACCTTGACGAATAGACCAAAAAGGTCAGATCAGGTCGATTCGCTTTGGGCAAGTGAGACATGGGTGCTTTGAGGGCCACCTTTGTGGCTTGGTTTAAAGGGAAAAAGGAAAACCCGCTTTGGGGGTGCACCTCTTTCGAGACACACCCACCCAGATCCAACCCAACGGCTCGACCGAGCCCTCGAGCACGGAGTGACTGGCTCGGCCCCGGTTCTTTGAGCCGAGCCCACCGGTTGTGGAAACCAAGAATTTGTGTTGTCAGAATCGCCTAACACACTCATTGGCAAGGCTGGTATGCGTAAGCAAGGTGTTCGTCATGGATGATTCCCCTCACAAAAGAAACAGAAACTTGCAAAAACCTGGTTCTGCCATATGCCCGGGCGAAAACAACTCTCGGAGATGGGGAAGCGGGATGGCAAAATCAAAGGCAAGTGGCGCCCTGAGCCTCGAGAACTAGCAAAGGCTATCGAGAAAGTTCAGGACGCCAAGGAAAAAGGAAAGCAGCCAGGAAAAGGCCCCCCAAAGGGACCGAAAGGAAGTCAAGTTGGAAGCCAAGAACATGCAATCAACCAGAAAACCAGCAGGGAAACCCGAAAGCAAATGCTAAGGAGCATGCAACTAAACATGTCCTTGCTTCCATGAATTCAGGGTTGTTTTGTTGGTATCAAGAACCTGTGTGGACTGGCCAAACCAAGCCACAGAACTTCCTCGACCAAAATGGTCCAGTCCACAAACTCGGAGAGTAAGCCTGTTTTCAAGTCGTTGAATATTTAATAGGGTCCCGCCCTTCTCACAGTGAACATGAATCCTCATCTAGATGCTACCGTGGATGGTGGCGAAATCCATTCGCACCACCTAAGAACCAGTTGTTTGTCGGTATTTCCAGGGGAACCGTATCATTCCGTTGGGTTTCCAGGAGTTCGGCGGTGAAATCGATTTCCGGATTTTCGCGAAACCATCCACCGGTTTGTAGAATCCATCCACCATTCACATGGCCATGGGTCAACATCCAAATCGTACCCCCAGTGAACATCCCAATCCCCACTAAAATAGGTTCTAAAATGAGTGGTGAACTCACCTACCCCAAAATGGGATACCATTGGTTTTGACCCATGGCATGCTCGCTTTTTGGTTGGGGGGTCCCTGTTTTTGAGGTTTTGAAGGGGAGCCACAACGAAAACCCCCCAATTTTGACCCGGGTCCCAATAAAAAGAGACCAGCCATCCGCAGAATCCCCAGCCCGCGGTCTTGTAGGGCCACTCCGCAGGCGTTGGCAGGCATGGCCTCAATCGGCTCCAAAAGGGCGGCCAGGGGGGGAGGGGGGGAACCGTTTGAGGGGTAAAACATGTAGAGATACGTGTATATCTATATCTATATATACAGATATATAAATGTCTATGAAACATGTATATATATATATATGTACATACATATGGTATGTAGACAACTATGTTGTTTGCCTTTGACTAAAGGCTTCTGAAGCCCCGGAACCTTTTGAGTCCTTGAACTCCTTCAACTGCAACAAACCTCATGTTGCTGTTATAGCCTTATAGTCTTACACATATGCAACATGTGCATACAAACAAAAATACTTGTATATATATATATATATAAGCACATTGCATATCAATATATTTTTAGCGCACGCGTGTATCGATTGTACATGCACCACACCATACATATGTCAGCTGTATCCGGACTCAACGCGCCTCCCAGGGCGCGAGCTTGCGTCCGTGAAGGACCTGGCGACTCCGCTCGACTCGCCGACCGGCGGCTCTGGGAATCGCAAAGGAGCGGTTTCAGAGGCGCAAGAGCTTTGCAAGCTGAGCTTCGCACATATTTTGGGTGGCCGTTGTACGCTTCTCCTCCGAATCTTGATTTTGGAAAAATATGTTAAACCCCCCGTCCTGGCTGAACAAGAAGGGCCCTGAGGCCCAAACAACTCTAGTTTGAGGCAATGAAATGGGAATATGGGTGTGTATTTTTTGAGGATACCCATTTTGGGTGGTTTAAGCCTGAGAAGCGCACCCCGATCCGATGTCCCAGCTGAATGGGGAGGAGTGGTTGGGCACAACAGTTTGCAACGCGGGTCGAAAACAATTCTCTGGAAAAACTAACAGAAACAAGACTCACCAACTTGTTGTTTTTGTTTGGGACAATGGATCCTGAAAATATGAACCCACAGGGGTATTTGGTGGTTTCCTTTGGACGAATCAACATGTTGCCCCCCCCTTGTGAAAGGCTAAAGGCCGCAATGTTTGATCCAAAACGACAAATATGGGGTTGCCTCGAAATAGGGGAACCTTCAGAATGGGTTGCCTCTGTCCTTCCTTGTAGGCCACCCCAAAAAGCCAGGGACCCTACTAACCCCACGCCCTTCAATACAGCCTACTCTGCCCTGCTCCCTCTCAATCAACCATAGGTCAAACCAAGCTCCTTATCTGTCCTTTTTAAACATCTCCGCCGAAAAGAACCTCGCTGAAAAGTGTTGATGAATCAAAGCAGCCTGAAAGGGTCGGAAATCCATTCGGTCCAGGCTTAGGCCCAAGTCTAAACCACCTCCATGTGGCTTGCCTTTCATTCGGACCAGGGCCGGAAGTTAATTCACCTAAGTGGATTGGCAAAAGCACGTCTGAACTTGTTTACCACTAAACTGGCCTTCCCAAAATTCATTGAGTCGAGAAATGCAGCGAGTCAGTTATTCCCGCCCACCTCAAAAGTGGTGAAGACATAAATCCCCATCGAAATGATGTCCACAAGGTGCTTTTTAATCAAGACTCATACCCACATCTTGCCCCCTAACTCCCCCACCTTTTGCAAGACCAGGTGGGTGGCGACTCCGGCCCGGACAGCGCCGCGGGCGCCGGCGGCCCGGAAAGCGCCGGCTTCGGCGCTGGCTTTGGCTTCGTGTTGGGCGCAAGCGCCATCGGGGCCGAGGCCAGAAGCGCGGGGTGGACCCAGCTAATGGCCTCACAGAAATTCGAAGGGGATGGGGTAATTACTTGAAAACCATGCTTTAGCAATAGGGGCTAACAACAAAAAACAAAAACAACACAAAAAAACATAAGAAACCATGTTTTAGCTTAAACCAATAGAAACAAAAACCATCTTGGGTGTGCAGCCGAGTTGAGTGGTTCGCATGCATTTCACCTGGCCGAATGCAGTGCCAATTGCATTGCGACATTAGCGGTCTAGTAAAATATTATATTACTGTGTGTGGTACCAATGTGGGCCATGCCTATAAAGGTCTCCTATAGACGTTGTTACTTGCAAGGAATGGCAACCAACACATAATTTGCCACAACTCCAGAAAAGTGCCGAACTAACAAACAGAACATCATCCTACCGAGAATCTCAAACTTTGGCAACCCAAACAGGATTCTCGCTTGGTCTCAAATGGTGGCTTGTTTCCTCCTTTTCTCTTCAAATACAAACCGGAAGGATTCCTGGGCTCCCAAAAATGGATCGGTAATCTTCCCAAAATGACGGAACACCGGAGGAGATGTCTCCAAGGGACGTATTCAGCACCCTAGAAACCACCACCCAAACCGAATCCCCCTTGTTGAATACACAAAAACACAAAGCCTCCCTCCCAGCAACCTGGGTCCTTGAAAGCAACATCCTCCAAAATGCACTCTAACTGGCGGTTTTTAGAAATGGAAACCACCAGGTTCCAAATTTGAAGAATGAAGCCGCAGCCACTTTGGTGGACCCAGTGACAATCAGGGACCCTGGGCCCACTCCAACTTGAACAAATGGGCACTGCGCCAACCCCCAGTTTGTAAAAACACGCCGAACTCTGACGACCTCCTTCCGCTTGAGCCACGCCGCTTGGGCCGGTGGTTTCACTCCCCGAACCGCTCTCGCGATCCAAGTTGCGAACTGTATCACTGGGAAGCCGGTGGCTGTGTGCGCCAAAGGCTCGCCGCAACTCTGGGGCTTGCAGCGCCTAGAAATCCGAGCAGTGGCTTTACTCTGCAGATTGATACTGTGGATGGACAAAATCTGTTTTGCGCCACCAAAGAAACCCTAAAATGATGATTCCCCCGGTCAAGTTGAAGTCATGGAACCTAGAAAGCCCATTCGTAGAACCGTTTGTTGAGGGGCCTCCTTTTTGGGCTCCATGTTAACTTGCCGAGGAGTCATTGCTTCACGCACAACGCCTGACTAAAGGGTGCTGAAACTTAAGAACTTAGGTCACTTTAAGACCGGGTTTGGAATATAACTCAGGGCGAAGGCGGAAAGTAGATGGTTCTGCCAGGATTATTTCGTCATCCCCCTTAAATTGGTCCATCTACCTTCACCCACTTGGTGAACTCTACTTGGAGGACTCATAGATTGTGGATGCTTTCGGGGTGTTCGTGTCCTCGCAAGTTCTGGATCCCAAATCGTTGATAACCTGGGGGAAGTATCATGTTAAACCTAGTCGCTCTAACTAGACAAGCACATATTTGAACAAGCAAATAACATACAGCTGTGTGGGACATACCCCTTTCTGTGAACCGAAACGGGCCATCCCACGACGACTTGGTCACTTTGACTATCACAGAAAGCGGACCGAAAGCCCTGTGTGGAGCCATGCGGATGCTTTCCAGGTGTATTATTAAAACCTGTCGCAACCTTGTGGGGATGACCCTCCACTGCGAAAGGGGCTCCACTGGTATCACAGAAAGTGGCAACCTAAACGGAGTTTTTCACAAAGAACAAGCGGAAAACTCACCAGCTTGGGTGTCCATGGCATATACGCTTTGCTAATCATTCCCCTGGGTACTTCTGTTTTCGGGACCCAACAAACCTCCGCAGAAAGGAGTGTTTGAGACCACCCTGCGCGAAGCGCTTTTTTTTAAACGCAAACAAATCCAAAACGTGCAAAATCAGGCTAGACAAAGCCAAGGGATAGACAAGAAGTACAAAGACAGGATAAGATAGACCAAGAAAGGCCGAGAAAAGACAGACGGCGCAACAAACACTTCAAATAAGGACAAGAACCGGAGCTCTTTATTAGTATAGTTGAGGGTGCCAAGCGCGACAAGGGGTTGAAGGGCTCGTCAGAAAACATGCCCCACACTCGGCGCGGCGAAGTGTCCCGACGTTGCCGCTTACTTAGCCTTTACTTACTGCTTGTTCGGGGTTTGCCAACAATAACTGCAGGGTCCGGTGGTGACGACCAATTTGAGGGAGCCAAATAAATAGCACAAGTGCAGTAAACGAAGTACACGTCCGCAGCTCCAGCTGGCAAATCGCGACTTTGCGGCGCAAGTCTGGTAAGTCAAATACACTTTCGCAGCTCCAGCTGGAAAGTCGCAACTTTGTACTACAAGTGCAGTCGCCGAAGCAACAAAGTCTTTTAATCAGGCTCAACTAGGTCCTCCAGTAGAGAGGTTAGAATAAGAGTACCCTTTTTTCTGTAGTCTATTTTAGTAGGGGAACCCTCCCAACCAAAAAAGGATACAAGGGCACTACTGGGGGACCTAGTCAGCAGAAAAGATAGTCACTGAAGTACAGGATACAGTTACGTAATTTGTTCGCGGACAAACGAGTTACTTTCGCAACTCTATCGCGAATCTTTCGCGGAGGTACCTCGACAAACTCCGATGGTCACCGAATATAAAAACTCCTTACATGGATTTTTAGAACGACTCCCATCTGCGTGTATATATATTATTGGTATGTACTTGTAGGCATTTTGGGGTCGACCATCTGAGGCAGCCACCAACACACGCGTTCTTTTGCCTAGGTGCCCGCCGTTTGGCTGACCCATCCACTCCTCCGCCAAGACCTCCATGGAGGAGCCTGTGCAACGGAAGTATTGCCCCAGGCGCTCCAGGGTTTCGATGTCCTCGGCACGGACCACGAAACGATTCAGTGGCTATCGGACCGCGACTTTTGGGCCATGCCGGGTGTCTGGGTTGGATCCCAAGAGAAGACACTGGAGTGGTGGTCTTGCAAATGGTACATCAGCAAATTCATGGATTCAGACCAAAGTGGCGCCCCAAAGAGTAGATCAAGAGGAACTCAGGAAGTGAGGAGGTCACTGGAATGTTTTCTTTTTTTTTCTTCACAAGTTGCAATCGCTGGTGGGGTCCAATAAAACTGCAACTTGAGGGCCCAAAAAGGTGGAACTGAGGAAGCCCTGGTTGATTCCGAGTTGACTTTCAAATACACTGGGTTGTAAATGGAAAGGCCCGGCTTCCTTCTGTAGGTGGGTGAAATAGGGTGGATTCGGTGGGTGTGGCTGTGTCTCGACATACGCCCCCGCCACCCCCCCCCCCCCTCCCCCCCTCAAAAAAACTGTTGCACGTCCCTCCAGACGAAACCACTCCCAATTGGCACCTCAAAAATAGCGCACACCCTTGTGGGGTCTTTGGGGACCCAGTGACCAACCAAATCCCAACGGGTTAGGGGCTAAGAAGGCTGAACAGCCAAGATCTAAGGCCCAAATAAGGGGGATCTTCGGGAGGAAGGATCGCTGTTGGGTCCGTTAAAGTGATTGCCCTTGAAATGGTGGTTTTACTCCCAGTTGCTGGCCTGCACGTAGTTTGGATTGGTTTTGGATTTTCTACCCCCCCGGTGTTTGGATGGGAAAACCCCAACCGTCGGAACACCAATAGCCCACGCGCTGCAAAGATCATGGAAGATCCGAGGCGCCCGGGCGATCCTTGCCTCGTTGGACAGCCTCTTGCGGCTTTCGCTGGTGGACTCCACTCGCCAACCCAAATGCACCTTTCAGGGCGCTTAGCGGCTTAGCGGTGCAGGGAGGCCCCTGTAGAAACCTCGGTTTTGGGTGTGGACTATTTTTTTTTGAGTTCGGCTCAATGAAAAAACGGGTGTTTGATATTGAAAGGGAAACCACTCATTTTGGGGCTCAACATACTGGCAAAAGGCCAAGGCAAAATAAGTTCCCTTAGCTATTGGGATGTTTCTCGGGGGCAGGCGGGTCTCTGCAGGGTTGCTGATGGAAAGGCAGGTAGATGTGTTCAAAGTGAACAGTTTGGGGGCGGGAAGCCCATGTAGCCCGGCAACCAGGCCACGTGCGAAGGGATTGGTACGGCAGAAAAAGCTGGAAGCAATGAGTCCCAATTGGTCCAATTTTAATGTTTCTCAAAATGGGAACTCCTGAAATCGCTTGCTCCTTTTGATTCCCCTTAACCATCCCAAAAAGGGTTCCGCTTTTCAAGAGACTTTGTCCTCGCCTCCATGTCGAGGGTCCGGATCTTGTCCAAGTCCTTGGGCGAGCTGAGCAGCCACTCGAGCTCTTCCCATTCGGAACCTGTCGGCTTTGAGTGGCGGCCCCAAAGACGCGCAAATGGAGGTTGCGCTGTTCGAGGTTTCCCTGTAAAGGGATGGTTGTTCAACGGAAAAATGTAAAGAAATCTACAAATTGCTTGGGGTCTTACTCTGATACGCACCCAAAGGTTACAGCAATTCCAACACCTGAAATTCTGAAATAGGAGATTTTGCGAGGGACCTTCGTGATCCCTACCTCCGAATCTGTGAGCAGGAAGCCGGGCAAAACAAATAGAGGCAAACTGATCACCCAAAGAAGAAAGGCCCAGCACTTGCGCACTGAGACAGCCTTCATAAGCGGTGGAATTCGGGGCGATCAGCTTCGGTTTCCTGAACCAAACAAATGTAACCACAAAAACAAAACAAGGGTCACCCCCGATGAAAAACTGCAACTTTTTCTACGGTCAGAAGGCGTAGTTGGCCCGGTTTTAACCGCAAGGTTGTTTATTTCGGTAGTTTGCTTCATTTGCCCGTATTTGGCCGTAAAAACACCGGCTTCTTATCGATAAAATATTGAAAACAAAAAGAAACACGTATTTGGCCGTATGACCATTTGTTGTCGGGCAAAGCATTTTGACCAAAAAAAGCAGAGTTTTGGAGCTCAGGGTTGGTTGACTTGAGTTGATCCGGGGCAATCAATTTCACCAGGTACAATTCCCTTTCGGTTGGTAAAAAGGAACGGATTCCAAGGGGGGTGCCATGTAATTTCACAATTCATTAAACGAAACTCACTTTTTCCTCAGAGGACTGGCAAGAATAAGTCTAACTGTTTTGTTTTGCCTCTCTCCGAGAAAAAAAAATCACAAACAAAACGGAGTACATGAACCCGACTGAGCCTTCTGGGTCGCGAAACAAAGCACCAGACGTGCCAAAAGACAAATACAAGCAGAAAATAAATAAATATCCATTGCACAAACAGGAGGTAACCCAACTCATTGCCAATGGCAAGAAGCCTGGCAGCACCGGGACTCGTTGAACTTGGACACCACAAAAGCCGGATTTTGGTGGTTTTCCATTTGGTTTCCCTTGAATCCAAGCTAACAAGGGTACCCGAGCCTCAAACAACACATTATATACATCCATACTTCACTCAAATGTAACTCGGCATCGCTCCAATTAATGGTCTGGAGTGGATTGGTTGTGTTCCTTGGGTGGATTTTTTTTTTTTTACAAGAACCAGGGGTGCAATCCGAATCCAAACCATCTATTCAAACCACTAAGAATTACCTGACCCACTAAAACCCAACAACAAAACTCAGTGCTGACCCCTTTCTTGAGGGTAAATTGGATTTCATCAAAACCACCACTCCAACCAGAGCCAGGGGTGCAATCCAACTCCAAACCACCAATCCGAACCAAGCAGAGAATTACCTCAGCGATCCCAAGGCTTTGTGCCGCGTCCCGCGAAGCGCCGAAGCCGCTCCCCGCGCCTTCCGTGTCGATCTTGAGATGGACCGAGAGCCGCTGCCGGTCTTTCAGGTGCAGCCTCAAAGATTCCTGAGACGAAGCTTCAAGTGACCCCGCGGCCTGGAAAACTCAAAACAATCTCTTCAATCCATTGTGCCCAACGCCCTGGAAAAATGGGGTGGCTTGTAAAAAGAAGGGCGCATGAAGACATGGAGAACCGACCCCTAGATTTCGGCCAGTACAGTGAACCTTTCTAAAGATTGGATTTTGAACCTCTCGATAAGGAAATGCGCAAACAAAATGAGCGGCCAAAAACTTGGGTTCGATTCAAACGGTAGAGGTTGTAGGCTTTGCCTGAACCACCATGACCATTGCGAATCGGTTTCTTTCGGCGCCCCATGGCTCTCAAGGACCGCGAGAAGCGACTTTCGGTTTACTACACTTGCCCCCCACTCACATGGTACACCTGTGGGACGATATCAAACAAATAAATGCACCCCAAACTCTGTAACGCATGTATATATATAATATCATGTATAGCCTTACATAGTATACAGAGCAAATAGCGTGTATGGTTCCCCGGTGAAACTGGCACATCAAACGATCTACCAGTACCTCTTTTGTGCCCAACGGACGGGAGGGAACAAGTATGTATTTGTCTTTGCGCGTACACATCCGATGATATGTCAAAAGCAAACCAAGGGGATACCCACCCACCCCCCCGTCCCCATTTTGGGGTGAGGGGTTCCCGCGAAAACCGGTGCGCAAAGAAATATCCTCTTGCATTAAAGGAATCGGCTCATGAAGGCATCAGTTTACAAAGTTACAACCACACTGTGGATGGGCAATATCCATTTCGCACCCCCTATCAACTGGTATAAACCACCAACTGAAGTGGATGTTTTGTTCATCCACACGAGGTAAGGGGTGAATGGACAGGTTCTTGGGGGTTCATGCCCCGTGGACTCCGACGCGTTCCCCGCTTGAACCCCAGGCTCGTATTTGCGCTGGCCCGGGATGTCCGCGCCAGCACCGCCCAGGCAAATGCGGTGAGACTGGTACCGCGTCTCGTAGCCTCGGACACGGCTGGGGAGAATGCCCAGGTCCCTTGGCGGATTCAAAGGTGTCAAGTGCTCCTTCCTTAGAAAGGACCTGGACCCGGACTGGGGACTCAACCCCCATCAGAATTGCGCATTAGCAAAAGCACTTTGACTTCAGGTTAGAACCAAAATTCACACCGGCGTCAATCAAAATCTCCTGCGAGAAAGCGAACCTGCGCGCCATGCCGAGACGCAGTGCCCCGGCGCGCCCGCGCAGGATGCCTTCTGCAGATCCTCCCTTCCCAAGGGTGGCGAGTCCTGTGAGACGGGTCTGATGTGTAGCTGAGAAACCCAAAGGGCACCATTTTACCTCTATTTGCGTTGTTCGTCCCCTGGAAATTTTGAGAAAATATCTCCAGTGAAATCGATTGATTTCCTTCAAACCCTACAGGAGGGAAAAGAAGAACAATAAATTCTTAAGCAAATGGAAGTTTACATGGGGATTTATGCCCACAATGTTTGAGATTCATAGCCTGGGTGCCTTTTCTGTTGACCGTTTAACCCTTCTTGGACGTTGGTTTGTTTGGAGAAATGCTTGGAGAAACCCAAACAAGACCAACCGCTATTGGGCTTCCAGAGACAAAATCAGATGTGCCTGCTTGAAGCCCCAACAAGCACAACACAAAAGGACAAAGGAAATGATGTTCCGATGGATTCAGTAGAACATATTTAAGGACAGAACACCTAGCCCGGTCTTGTGTATGTCGATTCTGAGGGCAGGTTGCACTTAGATCGTGGAGGAATTGTAACCCAGCTTTGAACCTCGCGTATGTGGGAAACTCAAGTAAATAATTCTAGTTGACCTATCATTTCCCCCTGGTCCTTAAACTTACCCTCCCATTACTTAACATGGAACTGACAGGGGGGAGGTCCTGAAAGACCATTTTCCTTTTCAAGGGACCCCCAACCGTCAGGTTCCATGTTGGCAAAGGCCTCTCCGGCTACAAAACCTCCAAGCCGACGGGTAGGAATTCATTGAGGACAAGCACCATAAGCCAATAACCCCTCTGCCCACCTCCAACCCCTTCCCTTCCCCAAGCGAATCCATCCGACGCTAAAAGCCGAGCGCCCGAACCGCCGTCCTTTGGGTTTTGAAAACAGTCGTAGAGCCTTGTAGGCACCTGGCCCACGGGCATAACGCGCTCGATGCCGACCGAACTGCTCGATGCACCACAAAACAAACAGGGTGGTTTTCTTGTGGAGGAAGCTTAACATGGTGTGGTTGAGTATGAAGTTGGTCTTATGCATTCCAAACTTCCACCTTACAAACGGGTCCCAGTAAGTCCATTTACAGATTTACAGCAGGTCAAGAAAGAAGTTGCACTTCTCAAACCACAAGGGAAATGGCTGGATATCTTCTAGTAGTGGTACCTGTGATCCACTGGAAGTTTTCAAAACAGGGTAACCCCTGCTTTCAAACCCTATGGTCCCATGTGGGGGTAAGTGTCGATCTTAAAACCAACAGTTGTATGTCATTCTGTGAACGCCGTTCAATGGGAAGGGTCAAGCTGGACCCTCAAACTGCCCATACAAAAGAGACATCATCCCATGATTTTGAGCAATAACCAATGCTTAATGGGATTGTGTGGGTTTAGGAACATGTTGTTCAAGGCAATGTGCTTGTCTTGTACGGCCCTCGCTGGTCCATGATGTCACTCGAGTGAATGCCTGTCTCCCCTCCCCCCAAAAAAAGAACAAGGTCTTTCCAACAAGTTTTCCGTCCAGAAACCAGTCCAAGTGAGTCAGAACAAGATTGCCCTCTGAGGGTTGCACCCTCTCCAATAGCCCGTGAGACCGTAACAACTCGGTCCGTATTCAGCCTCACAACCCGGCCACTCGCTTCAACTTGCGCACATGCCAAGAACGATGGCACTTGTGCGCGTGTCTTTGCAGCCGAGTTGCTTTGTAGTCGTTGCTAACCTCACGCGCAAGCTACGCAGTGGCCCAAGTGGATCTCCCCCCCCCTGAAGTGGGCGATTTGAAAGGGACGTCAACCTTCTCGGGGCGCCTCTAGGTGTTTCCACGGATGGTTTTGCCTGGTTTCCTGCAATGCCTTGGGACTACAAGCACCAGGTGTTTCGTGCAAGGACGAATCAATTCAGCATCCCCCGATTGGTGGTTTGGAGTGGTGCTTAGGTTCGGGGGGTCCCAAGAACGGGGCTTGCAAACCGGCAAGCCAAGCATCCGAGTTGGGGGCACCGGACGGACTCTGCCGGGCTGAAGCAGAGATGTCCTTTTAGGGGACATAGATGGCCCAAACCACCAGGTACACCAGGGCCATCTATTTTTCGAGCAAAAGAACCGAAAGGACACCTATGGGCTAAAGGCGGACCCGTAACGATCTCACTCCAGAGATCCCGCTGCTCGATGCCGTAGGACAGCCCGATGACGGCCCCATCCTTCTGCTCGCTGCCAGCGGTGCTCGACAGAGCTCGCTTGCACCAGGTCATGTCCTCGGAACTCGTGGACAAGCGGTTGGGGGGGGGGGCAAAGCAAGTTAAATGAGGCCCCAAGCAAAACACGGCCACCTCAAACGACCGAAAACAGGCCAAAAACGAAACACCACAGCAACACCCAAGCACGCTAAGCTCAACCAACAGGGGTGGAAAGTGGGGGTCTGGACAAATTGACAATGATTTCCCAGTTTGGGCTTCCCTTTGGAAAACAACTTGGGTTTGTCTTATAATCAGGTTTTCCCCAAAATGTAAAACCAAAAGGCGGTTCCAACCAAAAGCAGGAAGCACACTTGTCGATTCAACCCAAATGCTAAGCCCAACCAGCCAGCCAACGAATAAGCCAACCAACCAAATCTGAAAAGATGGAATTATCCGTTGCTGGTTTCAACTTGGGCATATTCGAATCGGCGATTGACCACACCCAATCAAAATCTGAAACGCTAAACTCCCCCAAACCCAGCCAACCAAATCAACTAAACCAACTAGCCAAAATTTAAAACCTAACCAACACCAAACAAAATAACAACCCAATAACTAGTAAGCCAAGCTAACCAAAACCAACAACCTTTAAACCTAAGCAACTATCACAACCAAGCCTTCCAAGTCACCTCACTCCCAACGACTCGCCCGTCTTCTCTCGATACCAAGTCGCGCCGAACAAGTGCCAGCCACCGCCTCGGTCCCGGTGGCGCTGGGACGGTGGGGGGTAGGGTTGGAGGGGGGGTGGGGTGGGGGGGAGGGGGAGGGTGGGGTTGATTGATCTATGAGTGTTTCTCATATATAAACCAAATCATTGGGGATGGGTCATAAACAAAATCAAGCATGTTGATCCAATATGGGGTTCGATCTATGGATCATATAGGATTGGGCCCCCTAAAATGGAAAGGGTGTCCTTTTGGTTTCACCATTCTGAGAAATTCTCATATGTATGGTGCCCCTCACGGATTTCAAAGAAACCGGTAGACGGGATCCAAGGAAGACAAGACCATGACCCACATGAGGAATCTTGACATTGTTAGTGGTGTTTCCAAAAAGGTGGACCGCTTTTGGTATTTAAAGGAAAACCACAAGGAAATCAATAATATGTGGGTTAATTCCTTGATGCGATACTGTGGATTACGAAATCCAAAAAAAAACGCACAATGGGAACAACAATTCAATTCAAAGACCAAAGCGGAAAGTTGGTGGTTGCCATACCGCTTGGGATCTACTGGGATCACTCGCCAACTGAAAGCTATGGGGTCGACGGCCCAGATAGGCGATAAGGGGTGGCTTCGGTGGAGGGTTCCACGGACTTTTAGGGAAATCCGTTAGGGATACATAGGGATACCACCTGCCCCGGATTAGTAAGCCCCTGGCTTTTGATTGAGGGGTGTCCCCTTTTAGTGGGAGCTTCATTGTTGGTTGATTGATCCGGGGTCAACAGTAGCCAACAGTTGGCCCATAGGCTATGATGTTGCGCAAACGAGACTCTTTTTGTTAGTTGAGTTTACAGGTAAGCTCTCCAAAAGTGCCTTGTTGGCTCACAGAGCTGTTTCTCAAACGGGACCTGTGGTTGGTGTCCATTGGTTTTCATTTCACATTGTGGTGACTGTTGTGTTGGGGGCCCAGTGCCGTCTATCTATTTGTTCTTAGCGTTCCTGGAGATTCGGGAAGTGGATCGCAGACGTTTCTCGCCAGGTTTCGCCATGATCATTTCCGAGTTCGCACTGCAACGTTGTTAGACCCTGCCAATAACTGGTTCGGAGAATGGCTGGTGGCTGGTTACCCAACGAGGGGGTCGCCAATTTTCTCACAAAAGGTGGCAAAAAGACACCCCTGAGTCAAATTAAATGGTCAAGCGGCCAAAGGTAAAACCAAAAGAGCACACGAGAAGCAAAGAAAAGGTTGTGCGTGTCAAGCCAAAAAGCACCTAAGTGGGAATGGGAAACCCTTGTGTGGTTGGGTTCAAGACAAACCAAAAAGGAAATCCCTGTCCGTTCCTGTTGGAAACATAGAAATCAGTGCCTGAAGCTCCGGCCCGGGTGGCGCTTAAGCCACTCACTCCCACCGACAAAAAAAACAAAGAAAGAGGGAACATCAGGACCCTCATTGGACCGCAATGAGTTTAGGGTGCCCAGTTCCAGTTCCCCTTCTCGGTAACCAGAAGCGACCATCTATTGGCCACAGCTGTAAACAACACTCAGTGTCCAGCCAATTGGTGGCAACAAAACATCTGTCAAAGCTGCAAGGACCTCGCGGCCGCTTGCGGCATTTTCCGGCAGCGACGGGCAAGGAAATCAATGCAGGCTGTCGATTTACGCATGGAAACACCTCCTGCAAGCCTGAGCGTATCCCATTGCAAGCAACCTCTTGCAGGTCCGACATACGGTGATGTGAAGCCAGCAACTAAAGCAAATGCTAGACCAAGACTGCTTTCTTAGATTAATTCCCAACGTGCACCCACCTTTGTAAGTGCAAGGGCTGGAACGTTAAGGTGCTGCCGTTTCTGCAAGGCAAGCTGTCCAACTCAAAAGGTGCGAGGGCATGCGCAAACCAGCAGTCTGTCTCTGCCAACCGCAGCAGCAGGCAAAAGCTGAAGCTTGCCACGAAGTTCTGGGCACAGCCAAGCTGGCTGGTCCGAACGGCGCCGTGCTTTGCTCAAGTCAAGCCCAACAGGAAGCTGATGCTTGACCAAGACTGCATCCTCAAAATAATTCCGAACGTGCACCCACCTTGGAAGCGCAAGGGCTGGAACGTTAAGGTGCTGCCGTGCATGCGCAGGCCAGCAGTACTGTATCTGCCAACCGCAGCAGCAGTCGAAAGCTGAGGCTTGCCTCGAAGCTCTGGGCTCCGAGCTTTGCTCAGGTCCAAACACACAGGGCTCCTGATGTCGCTATTCAAGATTCCTCCTGCAATCCTCAACATATCCCATTGCAGCAACCTCTTGCGAGGAGCAACCTTAATGCTAAGCCAGCCATTGAAGCTAACGCAAGACCAAGACTGCATCAGGCACTTGAACACCAACGCGAGCCGGCGCAGCCGGGGCTGCAAAGGAAGGTGTCCAACCCAAAGCCGTGAGCGCAGCCAGCAGTACTGCGTCTGCAATCCGCAGCAGCCGTCAAAGCAAAAGCTTGGCACACAGTTTTGGGCACAGCCAAGCTGGCTGGTCCGAGCGACTGCGTGGTTTTCTCAAGTCAAGGCTCATGTCATGCAAGCCTGGACATATCCAAATTTAAGCAACTTCTTGCAAGACATGTTGATGCGAAGGCAGCTGAAGGAAATGCTAGAGCGAAATTGCATCATTGAGTTGAATCCCAATGCACGCCGACATGGAGAGCGAACGGGATTGGAAGTTGCGCCATAGCGGCAGCTGCACTGCAAACTGAAAAGGTGTGAGGATTGTGTCTGCCAACCACGGTAGTATGAAGCTGTAACCTGCAACAAGTTCTAGAGCCAGGCCATCCACCCGATCTAACGCTCCAAGTTGAACCCCAACCAATGCCAGCAAAGGGGGGAAAGTTGCGCCGCTGGTGCTGCAAGGCAAGCTTCTGCTGTCGACAGTTCAAGAAGTCGCTTCTATATATGTTGGTAAACCCTGCCAACACCTACAAGCAGTGTAGTTCGAACATGAAGGTGGTGCATGCAAGTGCATCATGTTTTTTTTCGAGCGAGCTGCAGCATGAAGAAGGTCTCCCTTGAGGTTGTAGGATGCAGCTAAAGGAAACCTCTTCAGGACTGGGGCTACCTTGGGAACGTATTTTCCTGTGATGAACGTCTCTCCTTCGGGCGAAATGGCTTGGACGTCTGACTTGTGAGAACCGACGCACGCCAAAGATGTGGCTGTGTCATCCAACCAGGTCAATGGCTCGCACATTCACATATTTGCAGCCCATGCGCCGGGCAAGCATGGCTTGAACCATTAGGTGTTCGCTAGGATCAGTGACCTCGCTTGGTACACTTCCAGCATGTTGGGACCCACTCCTTTCCAAGTCAAGGTGTATGTTCGAACGGTCTTTGGGTCACTGTTTGGGCATCAGCTTGAGCCAAACTGAATTTGAGCCAAACTGATTTTGGTGGCGCTTTAACAATCATGGCTGTGGGCCGTGGTCCGGCCTGTGCGCCAGAGGCTTGTGGTTCACCCCAGTCCCGCAATTCAAGTCCCTGCCTGACAAACCCATGAGCAAATGATTTGTGTGGTTGCAACCAGCTTGAGTAACCGAATGGGGCTCGTGTCGCCCGTGAACAGGAAGGTTGTGAAGCCTCTGCAAGACGTTGCATGTACTCATGTTTGGCACAATGGGGCACCAAATCAAGCGTGTAATACGCAGGAACTAAGCGTGAGAACCCTTAGTGTAGACACACTGTTTGGGGAATTGAATGGGCAAGCGGCCGAAGGTAAAACCAAAGAGCACACGAAAAGTGAAATGTGAAACGGTTAAGCAAAAAAACATCTAAGTCGGAATGGAAACCCTTGGGGCTCGAGGCAAACTAAAAAAACAGTCCGTTCCCTGTTGGAAACTTAGGGATCATGCAGTGCCTGAAGCTCCAGCTCGACGCTTAAGCCAAGCCACTCACTCCCACCTAAAAATCCAGACACAAAGGGAAAAGCCCCAATTAGTTTAGGGTGCCCAGTACTTGCAGTTGCCCTTCTAGGTAACCAAAAGCAACAATCTTGAGGCTGCTCAGTACTTCCAGTTACTATTGTAGAGTGTCAAGTACTTCCACATGCCCTTAGTACGCAACTCTGGTCAAAGGCGAAGTGTCTTCAGCGCGTCGGGAAGGACTGCGCATGGGGCCGCGTGTGAATTGGTCAACGAATTTCTTTGCCGAAGGCTTGCTGAGAATATCATGATTACTGGATTTCGTTCTGCGGCCATGGTGTGTGATCCTTCTGAAAGGAATCGTACTGAGTGGAATTGCCAAGGAATTTTATGCTATGTTGCTAAAGGTTGACTCAAGGTACAACAGTGTTCATGGCGGCTTGACTTGAGCAAAGCAGAACTTCGCAAGTTGCAGCCTGACTTTGACAGTGCTGCCTTGCGCAGGGAGGTGGGGGAATCATGATATTCCTGTTGGTGTCCCTTTACAACCTACCAAAGAGGGGTACCTTGAAAAAAACAAAAAGCCGATTCGCTGATTTCAGCACACCACATACCCCGACTACCCCGGCCCCTCAAAGGTTGCCACGTTGACAACGGATCCGGCGGCGCTTTTGGGGGGAAGGAGCTCGGACTTTGCCAGGTGTGCCAGCTACAGGGCGACCGTCCTTCCTTTTCAGGCTGCCTTTTACACCTCCAAACGGTTCCAGCCCCACAAGAAGTTGTCCATTGAGCGGGTTGAAAGGTACAATGGAGGAGCCCTTCCAAGGGCTATGAGAGGTGCTTCAAAGGCCTGGCAATGAAATGTGCTTCACTGATTCTTCTCCCCGACCGAGTAGTTTTCCTTGTTCGTCCCAGTTAAACATCACCGACATCACCCTACCAAAGGATAAGGCAGCTACCTCAAGGTGATGCTTAAACAACCTCAAAAGGGACCCTAACTACATAGGCCTTCGACCCCCCCGACCTCATTTTCTTTCTTGGGACCCCAGGAAACACTCTTTGGGTAGAGCATGTCATTTAGCCGATTTCCCAACATGGATATCGATCAATTATACCCAAACCTGAAATAATTCCTGGAATAAGGGATCGCAA